CTATCTCTCAAAGGAAGGACATTCCAGAGCCACTGAAAACAATAAATAATTACCATGGACAGTCCCAAAGAGAATGGCTTTTGTTGTTTCAGCCTCAGATCTTTTATCTACATAATGGCAGCAGAATAGAAATGGAAAGGAGGACACCACATGTTCCCTCTTCTATTCTGCACTTTGAAAAAAGTCAATTTGTAGTCAGGTGTGATGTAAAAATAGCCCTCTGTTTTTTAAAGTACAGTAGAATCATTCTATATATTTAAATGCTAATGAGCCTCAACATCAAAACCCAATCAAAGACCCAACAAAACTCAAATGTGTCTAGCTGCTCTCAGTCCAGGAGGGTCTTTTTGGATCAAAATGTTGATCCATGTAAATGCCAAGACCTTAGCAGAGATAAATAAAAACTTTTCAATGAGGCCACAAAGGTTGATAAGCTACTAAATTTCCATTCCATATAAATGTGGCTGATAGAATATAAACATAATAATAATTTTGAAAATCTGATAAATTATAACCACCATCCTCAAGAGATAAACTCAACCTAACTTATGGAGGTGGGAGAACCAAGGATTTTTTTTTCTCTTTTATTATGTATGTTGCCACCACTTAGAGTAGGGTTTCCCAAACTGTGAGGAGTGTCAACAATTTAATAGCATACTGCATAGCAAAATAGTTGTATTCTGAAAATAATTCCATTTTATAGATTATGATATATATTATCATATATATATATGTGATATATGATGAATTTGCCTGGACTGTAAGATTATATGATAATATATATATTATTATATGATAATATATATCATTATCTTATATTACTCCTCCTCCTCCTCCTCCTCCTCCTCCTCCATTGAGGATATAACAGGTAGGGCCATCAACCCTTTGCACAGGTTTGAATTCTCACCACCACCACCAAATTAGCATATGCATACAGTATGCATATGATTATTTGTTTGTTTATTTATTTAAATTTATTGGCCGCCCAACTCCAGTAGACTCCAGTGATTTGTCATATATTGAGAAAAACCCCACATGAATCAGCATATACCTCTTTCTGGTAGCCTCCAGATATTTTGGACTACACTTCTCAGAATCATTTGCCATTGGTTAAACTGGCTGAAGCTGATTGGAATTGTAATCCAAAATTTCTGGGAGGTACCACACTGGTTGTCCCTGGCTTGTTTTCTTCTGTAAATCTAACAGCTTTGGGGATAAATAATTTAACTGAAAAAAAAATGCTGAAGGAAGATTAATCTAGCATCTTCTTCCCTTACCAGAATGCAATTTTTAAAAAATTAAACACAAGAATTCTGCTAATATGCCACTTAATGATCTTATTTGGTTCTATATTTCCATGTTTACTAACTTTGGAAACAGAAATTAGGCTATGTTCCTATGTTTTTTATTAGCTTTGAAAGGGGGATTTCAAAATCTGAGAAGAAAATGGTAAAAATCCCCCCTCTGTGCCTTTTCTGATCCCATCAATGATCAGCCCATCCCACAACTCTTTATATTTTTAAAACCAGTAGGTTATCTGTAAATGTATCTTAAATAATAGTTACTTTGGTTTAGCCTTTAGCATATATTCAGCACTTCAGCTCTCAAATTTGTTGCAGAGAATGAACTTTGGGAATATCAATTATTCAGTATTTTTAAACCTTGATTCTGCCATATTGATTACATATTACTCTGCTAACATGATTGGCTCTCAAAGGTAGGAGTCTCTCAGATACTTTTTTTTCCAAAAAGTAGTTTTTCAGTCCTTCTACCTTTTTTCTCTCCCTCATTTTTGGGTGAGGTTTCAGACTGTTTATGGGAAGTGATATATTTAATTCTGAACTGTGATATCTGTGTGGTGTTAAAAAATCTTTGCATACTTGAGGAAACAAAATATATTTTCACATAAGCCACGTTTAGCAATACATGTGCATTTTATGTCTTCCTCCACTGTACTTCTGTTAAGGAGGTGCTGAATTTATCTGCAATTTACAGTTTTTCCTTTAGAAAACTCATTCAATCATTTGTTGATATTAATGCTATGTAGTGGACCATGGCTTTAAGAGTATCATAGGCATCCATTGGTTAGCAGTTGTAGTGTGAATGGTGATGAGAAGGGCTCTTGTGTGACATGAAGTCATAAACTAGGATCTCCAGTTTCCTCAGGATCTTATATCCCAGCCTTCCTGAATCTAATACTTTTAAGATATGTTGGATTACAAACACCATTGACTCTAGCCAATCATAATTCTGGCTAAGGAGAAGGGAATTGTAGCCCAGCCATCAGGTTGGAGCAAGATTATTCCATGTACTATTGGATGTAATGTATCTAAAACTTTATTTATTTGATTAAAAGAAATCTTTACATGTTCATCAAGAGAAGCCAATTTAAATTTAGAAGAATTGTGCAAATCCTAGTAAAATTCATTAGGGAAGAATTTGTAATGGGGGGGGGATTTCTCAAAAATAATCCAATGTCGACTGAACAAATGGAAGGGTCATGGGACATGGGTTTACAACTAAATGTATCAGAAAGTGGAAAATCAGGAGGTTGAGGAATGGAATAGTATACCTTGAAAGAGGGATGACTTGTAAGCTATCTGAATACAGAACACGAGGATGCTTTCCTGAAAGCCCCTAACTGACATCAATTTTAATAGTTTTTAACCTCAAATTATAAGCAGCCCCAATTACGGCTTCACTTTATGGAAAATGGCTGTTTATAAGGCAGAAATAGAAAAGCCATTAAAAGGTTGGCAAGGCTTCTTTATTGAGGTAATTTCATGCATTTGAAAGAAACCGGAAATTATGTCTGTAACCTACTAATAGGAAAAACTCTGCGCTAGACGTTTGCCCACAACACACTGGTGTGTGTGTGTTGATGAAAACAGCAGTGAGAGAAGAACAAGCTCCCTTATTCTTGTTCTCTTCCCTTCTATGTTCTTTATACTAAAATAACATGCCAGAATAGAGCTCATCCAAATATTTTAGTACATAATCCTGTAATAGGAGACCCAGTTTGTTGTAGTGGTTAAGGCACCAGGCTAGAAACCAAGAAACTGTGAATCCTAGTCCTGCTGTAGGCACAAGGCCAGCTGGGTGACCTTAGGCCAGTCACTTTCTCTCAGCCCTAAGAAGAAGAAGGCAAGGGCAAAACATTTCCAGAAAAAAAAAATCTTGCCAAGAAAACTGCAGGGACTTAGGCGAGATAAATAATAAATATTGCCCCAATCAAAGCAATGTTTGCATGTTGTACTGTACTTTGACTTCAAAAATGTTGAAAAGAACGTATTGTTTAATGTTGCAAAGAACATAATACAGGTACTTCCTGGGTTAAGAATGCCTGGTTTAAGGATGATCCATAGTTAAGAATGGAGCCTATTGTAGCAAAATTTGAGTTAAATGCACAGTGGTTCAGGTTAATTACACAATACTACTTATACAGTATTATACAATAATACTGTTCCAGCTTACATATAAATCTGACTTAAGGACAGACCTTGAGAGCAGAACTTGTTCTTAAACTGGGGACTACCTGTATTGGCGTTTTAGGTTACTCTGCACTGCACAGCTAGGTTCCCTTAAAACCCTGGAAGCTGATTTTGGCATGACATAAATGGCATGAAGAATATTTGTGATCCAGAGCCCTGTTGGCATGCCTACAAGCATTTCCCTTTGTGTTTCCCTGCCTGGAGGACTGTTTACATTTTTCAGAGGAGAGAAGTTAGGATGCTGCAAACCAAAACACTAGTCCTGCAGAAGTGTCAGCCCTTCAAGGCAGTCCAGACAAGAAGCATAACCATGAGTACTAATGCTATCTTTATTGTAAGGCTACAGTAACAGAATTCTACAAGTCTGAAAGCACTTCTTCACTTTTACTTTCCAGAAAACTAGGGAGGGTCCCTTCTAAGACGCTTCCCATGCCCTTTTCCTTCTGTGGGCTGAGATACCTTTGGCATGATGGTTGTCTAGTCTGAGGTTCTTCCTCCTGTCTCCCAAGGTCATTCCCACAGGACATTACAAGAAGCATCCTTATTGCCAGGAGTGCCTGTGGCCTCCAAATGGGTCTGCATAAGCTTTCTTAGAAAGTGAAAATGAACAGCCACAGGCCGGTGCTTTGTCTGGAAGTATGCCCAGTCTATATAGAAAAGGACCAAAGTAAACATAGATTGTAGGGGAGTATTATGTGAGAAGGAAGGGTCCAGCAGGTAGCATTCTAACAAGTAGGTGCTTTGTTACTGGATATGCTCCCCGTGACAACTAATTTGTGAATGGGCAAGTCTCTGCTCAGCCTTCATTTTGCAGGCATGGCCCCAACATATTCTCAAAATTCCATATATGCCTGCTAGTCCCCAAAGACTCAGGACCTATGCTATATGTATATAAAAAGGGCAAGATTATTTTAGTTCTTGTATGTAGGGAGATTCAAATCCTATGGATATCTGCCTGTCTTTCTGTGCTCTTGCTCTCTTCTTTCTCTCTCCATTTTGACCCTTCTTTTCATTAATTCCACAATTTGTACCACATTCAGTACTGTGCAATAAATAAGAATAGGTCTATTTTCACAGCTTTGAGAGTGATATTCTTTAATTCCCTTTTGCTGCTGGCTCAATATCAGGAAAAGGGATGTCATCTCTATGTTTGTCACTTCTCTCTAGGCTTCTTCAAACGTTGGTCCTGTCTCTTACTCTCCAACGAGAAGGAAAGCTCCTGATTATGCTTGCTATGAGACTCATCCCCCAGGACATTGGGTGCTCTTGTATAATGTTCCTCAGGTTCAGCCCTCTGGACAATTGGATGCACATATAAACAGAGGTGGAATATTTGGTCTGGCACTCCTTTTGAGAATTACTCCAGGATAGCTTTGAGGTGAGGTATAAGGCAAGTAGATCTCTCCCATCTGTTTGCCTGAAAAGGAAATCCTGAATCCTTCTGAGATAGGAGGAGGAAGAGGAGGAATCCTCCACAACTCCAACTGACTACTGAGACATGAACCTTCTGTTCCTTCTCTTCTTGTTCACCCACATGCCCCCTGTTTATCCAGTGGACCAGAAGGCTTTGGAGGACTATGTGAACCTTCCTGACTCTCACTACAGTTATACCCTTGTGACAGAAGAGGAACACTCTGCTGCCACTGTCTATACCATCAATATGACCTCACTGAAGTGGCTGGATGGTAAGTAGTCCTCTGGAAGTAGAGATTTCAGACCTATTTGGTTGTTGCTTGTGGTGGAGCAGAAACTGAGCCCTTCTCAGGGAAGGGAAGAATGAAAAGCCACAAGATGTTTTCTGACAAGATGGTACAACTTCCCTCCTCATTTGTGAAATGTGATGGGAAAGGTTGCCCACAAAATCCTTTTTCTATTCTAGCTCTCCCATAGTTTGAATACTGATTTTTGTTTTACTTATCCTGAAATCTGTTGAGAAGTGAAAGACAGAATAGCTGTGCAATACCATTTTCACTGGTAGCCCCAGGAGACATTCATCTGGAACCACCCACCAGTTTTCCAAAATTGATGGTAACTTGATGCTCCCATGGAGACCATCAAAAGACTCATATTCCTTTGATTTGTTTCCAGTTATTGGAACAAAGCAGAACTTTTTGAAGAAATGCAGTGAATTTTATTTATAAATGAAATTTATAAATAGTACTAAACTTGGCTTAGTGGAACCCTTTCTAGAATAAATAATCTGTGGATGGTCAACAAATTCAGCAAAGAGGTTATTTAATTTGGCATGCATTTCCACCATCTCTCCTGCCAGTCATCCTATATGTTGGGGAACCTGTTATGTTGAGTTAAAGGAAATTGTCAACTCAAAAACAACACTTTAAGCCTTTCTACCAGAAGGGCGTTCTAAGGGGCATTTCTCTCCTGCCTCCTATCCAATAAGTCCAAGACACTTCTACTTCCTATTTTTTAATCCTTTTATTTTACAACTTGCATGAAGTATAACTGTACAGATCTACAACCAGATTTACACAGGTATAAGGATGATTTTATGCAGCTGTAACTATAGAGCTCCATGAGCAAGAATCTGGAGGTTTGCTCAGTGTCTCTCTCACCCATGCCAACTATTTTCTTGAACGGCAATGCATTTTCAGCCACAAAGTACATGTACTCTCAAACACTTCCAGCCTTCCCCTTGCTAAGGATGTTTGGCCACAGCTGCCTTGCAAAACAGTCTCATTTCTGGTGGCTTGCATTCTCTTGAACCACCTTCTTGCTGTCCCTGATCCAAATCCAGGTTGGCTGCTCATAGACTCTTCTGCTCTGCCAGTCTTGATTCTCTGCCCCAGCCATCACGAACTGGACAGCCCTCACTCTTTTGGTCTCAGTCCTCTTTCCACCAGACATATGGGATGAACTTCTTCACAGGTAGAACTTGCAGGCTGATCCACCTTCCCCGAACATAGCTGCAAATAGGCATATCAGCTGGGCACATGATATGTTCTCCTGTTACTTTTTCTGTTACTTGCTCCCCTTAATGGGACAATTTGTTCCTTATTTCCCTTTTATCTTCTTAAGCTGACAAAAGGTTACTCTGACTCATGAGTAACCTCTGTCACTTTAAGTCTTTGCCTCTTTCCTGTCTTAATCTTGAGTAAACTTTCTATCTCACTTTAAATCTGTGTCTCCTTTTTTATCCCCTTTGATTACCTAAGACAACCACTTTTCTCTTTCCTGACCATTTCTTCCAGGCTTGGTCCCTTTGGGTCAAGCCTGCTTGTGTTGTCCTCCACAGCCCCACACTTTTGTAACTTTTCCAAATTCTCAGTTTCTTCCACTCATTACCCACTGATTTGCTTGCAGGCTCCCTTTTGTCTTCTAAGAAACCACCTATCTCACCCTGTGATATCATTACCTTATCTATTTTTCTTTAGGTCTTCTTTCCTACATCCTGCTAATTATGAACCCTGGGCACCCAAATTCTTCACATCCAGATTATTTCCTTCCTTCTCATGGCAGACCTCTACCAGTATGAATCAGCTTTATTCATTTCCCCACTTTACTTGCAACCCCTATGATCATTTGGGAACTCAGATAATCTCTTGAAAACAAGTGGCTGGCAAGGTGTAGGAGGCACATGGAATGGTGCTGTAGGGGCACATCTTTCTGCCTACTCAAGGATGGGAGGAATGCATATTAGTGCAGTTGTCTGGAGGGGCCCTAAAAGAAGGATCTGGGGTGGCTCTCTCTTTCTTCATGCAGATTTGTTTTACTTTATTTCTAAAAATGTATTAGTCACTCTATAGCTTATGGTTTTCAGGGTGATAAACAACTAAAACAAATGAAATCCATATAAGAATGCAATGTGATAACATAAATAGTAAAACGGAACAGTGGTGGAAAGCAGCAGAAATAGTTCCTGGATTTAGTAGCTCAAATCTACATACTTGCCATATGTGGGAGAGCACAAGACTGTTGCAGGCTATCAATTTTTGACTGCAGCATAATTTATTTTATTTTATTTATTCAACTTTGTTACAGCCACCCAACTCCAATGAACTCTGGACAGCATACACAACCAAAAAATTCCATAAAAACAGATAAAACATAAAAACGTACAGACAGCCTGGACTACAATGATCTTAAAAGCAGCACAACTCAAACAAAACAGCCCCCCCTCCCCAATATAGTAATAAATTAACCCCAGGCGTGGGACCAAAGCAAGGTTTTAAGAGCTTTCTGGAACCCCAGGAGAGAGGGCACCATCCTCATCTCTGGGGGATGCTGTTCCAGAGGGTGGAAGCCATGACAGAATAGGCACACTTCCTCAGTCCCATTACTGCTCGCACTGCTCCATTTTGAACCAGCTATAGCTTCCGGGTGGTCTTCAAGGGCAGACCCATGTAGAGCGCATTGCAATAATCCAGTCATGAGGTGACCAGGGGATGGGTGACTGTCTGAAGGGCCTCCCAATTGAGGAAAGGGCACAACTGGCACACCAGATGAACCTGTGAAAAGGCCCTCCTGGCCACAGCTGTCACCTGCTCTTTGAGCAATAGCTGCGAGGCCTGAAGGACCACCAAGTTGCACACCAGTCCTGAGTGGGGAAGTGCAGCCCCATCCAAGACCAACGGTGGTAACATCCACAACTCCAGGGGGCCAAACAGCCACAGCCACGCCGTCTTGTCAGAACTGAACTGAAGTCTGTTTCACCCCATCAGACCTGAACAGCCTCTAGATGCTGGGTCAATACATTGACAGCTTCACCTGTGCAGCTTCAGGTTGAGATGTAAAGCTGGATATCATCAGCATACTGATGATACCAAACCCCAAACTTGTGGATGACCTCACCCAAATGTTTCATATGGATGTTAAGCAGGAGAGAGGGGAGCATTGTGTTCTGAGGCACCCCACATGTGAGGGGCCACAGGCACGATCTCTCCACTCCCTGTCAACATCAACTAGAACTGATTGCTGAGGAAGGAGGTAAACCTCTGGAGCAGAGTGCCTCCCACTCCTGACGTAACTCCCTGCAGCCAGTCCAGAAAGATAGTGGTCAACAGTGTCGAAAGCCACTGAGAGATCAGGGAGCACTAGGATGGAGGCACCACCCCCATCCCAGCTCTGCCAAAGGTCATCAGCAAGTGCAACCAGCACTGTATCTGTATAGTATCCTGATCTGAAACCAGACTAAAATGTAGTCTGGGCACCTGTTCCCCAACCTTTCCCAAAAAAGCAAGATTGGAAGCTGGCTGATAATTATCTAATAGGGAGGGGGGTCCAGTGATGACTTTTTGAGCGGGAGGCATACTAACAACTCCTTCAAGGCTAGTAGGACCACCCCCTCTCTCAGAGAGCCTGAAACCATCACATGGACCCACCCTGTAGTCACCTCTTGGGCTACCTTAATAACCCAGGAGGGGGCAATATCTAATAAACAAGTGGACAAACTAACAGACAGAAGGAACCTACCCACTTCTTCAGGTGTAACAGAATCAAATTCAGTCCAGATAACATCACAAGACTGTGCCCCGGGCAACTCACTTGGACTTGCCCAGTCAGAATCCAACATCCCAATGAATCTGAGCGACTGTCTGCCAGATAGCATGAATATTCTTCATCACGGTCCTGCAGTGATCTTGAGCGCCCCCCTCCACAGTAGGGAGCAAGTTATTCTAAACAGGGCTGCTGAGCAGCTATCAGCAGATGCAATAAGGGCAGGGAAATAGCAATGTTTTGCCCCCTTTATCACCATGACGTAAGGCCAAATAAGGTCTCTTCCCCATGTTTGGTTGGATTTACTCAATGGCACTCTAGGTGTCACTTCTGACACTTCATCTCTCAGAGCTCTTCAGAAAACCAAGAGCATCCCAGGATTGGCACACAGAAAGAAGCCACATAAGAGCAATGTGGTCCAAGACTTAAATCAATCACATGCCTATTACAGGCTATAGCCCAGGCTTCAGCCAACTGCCTGACAGGTTCCATCCCAAGCTCCCTCTGAAACCCAACAGAGTCCATCAGTTGCCTAGGGCAGACTAACCTAACAGGCCCTTTCTCCCTGCAGAGGTGGATGGTCCCAGTGAGTACTTTATCATGGGATAAAGTATCCTTGTTGTAATTTGAGTCTGGTTGTATTGGAGAAGGTGTGGGGTTTGGGAATCTTATCTGTACTATATCTGTCTTTTCATCCCCAGATTCTGAAGTGGATAAAACAATTTGGTGGCATATGGTGACAATTGCTGTGCCCAAAGTGTATAAGAATGCACAGATGAAGAAATCATGTTTCCTTTGGCTTGAAGGTGGAGAAAATGACCATTCCAAAAGTTCTGCTGAATTCTCTGCTGATCAGATTAGAACTATAGCAGTCACAACTGGATCGTATGTAAACTTTTTTCTTAAAGAGGGGCTAATGACAGAAGTTCAACAACTTCTTAGGGAAAGTTTGCAATGGTTTCTACAGGTATCACCAATCCTACAGGAATTAAGAACCTGAAGGCAGTGAGATGTGTTGTAGAAAGCAACAACTGGATGTGTAGCTGTGCATCTATCTTCAGTAATTTTTACATTTTTTGTCACATATGCAATTAGAATTTAAAACCTAATAATATACAGTAGAAGGGGGAAAGTGGAATAGAAGTAGGATTAAAGAGGGATGTACCTCCATCTTCTTAGATTTAGAACTAATAAGGTAGGACATTGATCATTATCAGTATTTACTTGGACTTCTTCAAATATGCTCTTCCAGAAGCTTTGATCACAGTATTTTCTCCAACAAGACCCTCTTTCCTTTATTTCATCTGATTCACATACTGGTCCATCATACTTCTTTTTGCAGATTCTCCTGCAACTCTCCCAAAGGCCAGATGATAAACCATATAAAGGAAATAAGATAGATGGCTCAGCACAGAGGCCCCAGAGGGTAGTTTGAGATATTAAGGCAGCAAAGGAGAAAGAACGTTAATCTTTTGAGAGAGGTGGAAATCTTTGGAAGGCTGGCAGAAGTGGACCAGCAATAATTATAAACTTTATCAGAGCAGAAAGCAAAGCAATCAGATGGGGGAAGACTGAAGGAGGATTTCAGCCATTTCCATACTTGTGATTTATAGCATCATCATATATAGCTATGGAAATATAAAACGTCTTCATTGCTGTTATATCAGCATAGTGGTGTCTGGAGGATGCTTGAACGTACTATAAATCACCACTGTGGAAATAATTTTTTTTTGTGGGGGGAGCGGGGGAAGGAGAACAGAGTAGGTACCTCAAAGCACGCTTACCTTTGATAATATCCATAAGGATATTGCTTCAAATAAACTGTCTTTTCTGATATCTCCTGTAATCTTGCGACTTCCAGAGGGATAGTGGCATTTTATCCTGCACTTCTATGCTCCTGCTATTGCTCTTTTTCACACAGAAAGACATATTCTATGTTATCCTTGTAACTATTCTGTGAGGTAAATTGGCTAGTGACCTTCATGACTGAGTGAGATTTGAACTTTGGCATTTCAAGTCATTCTTTAAGCCCAAATCACAGTGACTCACAGTATCACAGAAGACATTTTCTCACTGGTTGCATTAAATACTTTGTTGTTCTTTGTGGGGCCAGGTCGTGTGTGTGTGGCTTAGTGTCTTGGTAATCTAGCAAATAGTAGGTTATTCAACAAACTATAGCTTAGGCTAACGTGTGAATGAGCTTTCTCTCTCAGGCACACATCAACTCATGCAGTCTTTCTACATAAGACGTTCCTCCTCATGCTAACTTCAGTATTATGTCATCTATAACTGTAGTTATTTGAAAACCAGACACAAAGTCCAACAAGGATACCTTGTCCCACAATGCTGCAGCCACATTCAGCCAATTAGTCAATGTATTTATTTTCTAAATATAGTTTAATACTTAATTATTCGAATATCCTCTCCAAGGCTACACAACCTATGTGCCATGAAGATCTTTTAAATGGAGTTTTTTTTTTTTTTTTAATCCAAGCGCAAGTCAAATCCACACTAATCTGTTATTTTCTTATATTGCAATACAGGTAGTCCCCAGTTCAAGGACAAGTTCCATTCCCAAGGTCTGCTCTTAAATCGAATTTGTATGTAAGCCGGAACAGTATTATTGTATAATACTGTATAATGCTGTATAATAATAACAGTATTATTGTATAATACTGTATAACTAGTATTGTGTAATGAACTCGAATCATTGTGTATTTAACTCAAACTTTGTTACAATAGGCTCTGTTCTTAACTGTGAGTCACCTGTAAGCCGGGCGTTCTTAACCTGGGACTACCTGTACTATATTAGAATTGGAACTAATGGAACAAGCCTGACATTATTCTTCTGAAAAGCAGAATTATTCTCAATGTCACAGAGCTAAAATTGGCCCCAGAGCAGATGAGCAAGGACCATAAATTTTAGGGCAAGCTCACTGCATTACAGAACAGCTAGCTAGCTATCAAACAGCGAACATACCCACTGTTCTCCGCCTCTCAGCCACATCTAAAAATTAGAGTTTCACTACAGTTGGTAAATATAAACTGGCTACTAAAGGAGTTGTTCATTCAACGCAACATAATCAATTCCCATTTATTTCAATTGTAGGTTGGGTCTCTGCTTGACATATATGGATTTGGGGGAGTGGGGGGTGGAGAGGGGGTGGTGGAATAATGCTCCCGCAGTTGCAGAGCTCAGATTTATTGTTTTTCTGATGAGTGGGTGGGATGATGAATGGATTTCTATGTACCTGTGGTTTGGCTTTCATTTTGCTGAAATGAAAAGCTTAGACCCCTTCGATTGTTACTTTCTGTTTGGAATAGGGGAAAATGTCGTCATGACGACTAGCCACAGATACTGACAGCCCTGTGACAGCTGGGGGTTCATGGGGCCATAAAAAGGAATTGACAGCTGAGTCCAGCCCACAAGCTGACTCACTCTAAAATGGCAGCTGCCTGGTGTTAAACTATTTTGTTTGAGTTTGCCTGTTATGGAGCGGGCTCTGCCAGAGTGGGGTGATGTTTTTCTTGTTGTTGTTGTTTCTTTTCTCCAAAACTGGGTTGGACTGACTGGTTTGTCTTGGCAGGGTTGCAGTTCTCCTGGATCAAATCCCCTTCCAGCCTCTCACTTTCTATGTAAGTACTTTGCCTGTTTTGAAGTTCCCCTCTAGCCTCTGAAAGAGAGGTGGCGAGGCAGGGCAATAATTTTGGATCCCAAAGAAGCTCCTGATGGAAGCCTTCTGTGCCTTGGCAACAGACCATAGGGCCCTGCAACACTCCAGTGGAGCAGGTTGTAACATTCAAAGGAAAACAAAATCAGCAGCCAGCATTTGTACTGGGTTGCACTGCAAGCAGTCCCGGGGCAAGAGGCATGAACTGAGTGGATTAGGAAATATAGCCACTTAGACATAACTTTTTTAAAAAATGAAGTCACTCATTTGCACACCATGTACATATACTCAAATACTTAATAGATGTAAATTTGGAAATAATGTGTGTGATTTAAATTACAAAATACAGTGGTACCTCGGTTCACGAACTTAATTCGTTCCGCGACTCTGTCGCGACCCGAATTGGTCACGACCCGAATCAAATTTTCCCATAAGGTTCAATGTAAATACGGTTAATCCGTTCTGACCCCTCCGAATTTGGTCGCCAGCCGATTTTGGTTGCAACCCGAATCAAATTTTCCCATAAGGTTCAATGTAAATACGGTTAATCCGTTCTGACCCCTCCGAATTTGGTCGCCAGCCGATTTTGGTTGCAACCCGAATCAAATTTTCCCATAAGGTTCAATGTAAATACGGTTAATCCGTTCTGACCCCTCCGAATTTGGTCGCCAGCCGATTTTGGTCACCAACCGAATCAAATTTTCCATAAGGTTCAATGTAAATACGGTTAATCCGTTCTGACCCCTCCGAATTTGGTCGCCAGCCGATTTTGGTCACCAACCGAATCAAATTTTCCATAAGGTTCAATGTAAATACGGTTAATCCGTTCTGACCCCTCCGAATTTGGTCGCCAGCCGATTTTGGTCACCAACCGAATCAAATTTTCCATAAGGTTCAATGTAAA